AGATAGGGTCTCTTGCCTCAGCCTCCTGAGTTGCTGGGATTACAGGGCATGTACACTTCGCCCAGGTTTTCTATGGATTCTTTAGGGTTCTCTATACATACACAATCGTATCTGCAAATACAATTTAGATACCTGTTATTTCTTTCTCTTGCCTAAATTGCTTTGACTAGCGATTCTGGTATGAAGTGATGAAAGCCAGCATCCTCAACTTGCTTTTAATTTCAGGGAGAAAATTCAGTCTTTCCCCAACTGAATGTGTTGTTAACAATGAGGTTTTTTTGTTTGTTGGTTGGTTGGTTTTTTCATTTTGTTTTAATGCAAGTCACTTTTACTTAGTTCTAACTTTTTCTGTAAATAAAAACAAACAGTATTGCAAATGTTACATTGGGAAAATTACTGTGCATGTGTCATAAATTCGTTTGAGTTCACTAGGTCATTTTTTTCAGTAATAGATACATATTCACTCTCATATAAACCAGATATTACTGATGAGATGACTTTTTATAATATCCCATTGAGTTACAATGGCCATATAATATAACACACAAACTTGCCTTTTTTGCTGAAGGGGTCATTCAGAGTTTTCTACTGCAGTTAGATATTGGTTTTTCCCAAACATAGACATCATCCCATTGCTATGGCTAACTGCATTTTTCTTCCTAGCCTTTGACAATTCACCAATATACCAGGGCCAGGTCTTCTATCCAAAATCAGACAAACAATCCAAACTCTTCTGAAGTGTACCCAGTAGCACTGCCCTCATTCTCCGACAGACACACAATCCCCTCACTTTCCTTCACTCCTTTTGTGTTCATTTAATCTATCATGCATGAAAAAAAAATGAAGCTGTAGTAAACCACACATGCTTTGTTTACATGATAAGTCATCTTTTTTTTTTTTAATATTTATTTTAGTTCTCGGGGGACACAACATCTTTGTTGGTATGTGGTGCTGAGGATCGAACCTGGGCCGCACGAATGCCAGGCAAGCGTGCTACCACTTGAGCCCCAGCCCCAATATTTATTTTCTAGTTTTCGGTGGACACAACATCTTTGTTTTTTTGTATGTGGTACTGGGGATCGAACCCGGGCCGCATGCATGCCAGGTGAGCGCGCTACCGCTTGAGCCACATCCCCAGCCCTCGATAAGTCATATTAATTATGAAGTTAGGTATAATTTCCTATACAAAATTTTAAGATAACTTATTCCAGTTGAACTTCAAAATGGATCCATTTTCAAGAATGACCACTTGTTGGGGGGGCACGTTATTTAACCCCTTTTTAAACTCTGACAATGAGACCAATTATTTTGTCTTCTTCACTGCATTAGAATCATTCAGAATACTGGTTAAAAATGTCACCTCCCAGACTTCATACAATAGACCCGCACTGCACATCCAGTAGAAGTAGAACATGAGTCCCATATGTAATTTTAATGTCCTCGTAGTCATTCACTGACTGTGACTGTGCAGAGCTATAGAGGGAAGGAGCAAAGCTGCCGCAGTCTGGCTGGGCATGATTCAGGAGCCACTTGTCAAAGGAAACGAACTTTATTTTTAGAACCACACACATCAAACAAAACAGCTCCTCAGGAAAAACCCTTAGAGCCCAAAATGCCACCACCAGCTTCCCACAAGCCTCTGTCACAAACATAAGCCTCTCTCACTCCCACAATCCTCTTGCTCTTGAGGCCAATTGGCTGGGTCGCATGGGCGGAGCCAAAGAAGTCCCCCAATGAGCAGCTCCGTGGTCTGAAAGGGCAGGGAACAGCCCAATGAGCATCACCGCAGAGGAGCCAATCAGCTAGATGTTGCTGGGGCCGCTGTGAGCCAATCATCAGCCGGCAGCTGGAAGTTTGCTGGGGCCCCTTCAGCTGTGGCTCTCAACAAAGGGAATAATGAAGAGAAGATGCAGGAGTAGAAAGCCAAGAAGGTTAGAGTTGAGGAATTAGCAAGGCCAGGGGCTGGGAGGGTCTCATGAGGTCAAAGACCATGGATTTAATAGTAGAATTATTTGGAGGACAACTGAAAAGGAGGTCTTGAGAAAGTGGAATATTGGGATTAAGAAATCACGGGGAGGTTGATAGATGACATTGACAAGGAGAGGATAGGAGAGAGGATAGGAGACATAGCCAGATGGTGTAAGCTTCCTAGGAAAATTGTAACACAAAGAGAAAAACTGGAATCAGCAGTAAGGAAGATAGAAGCTGAACCTATCCTCCCACTGTAATCATGAACATCTAGTAGAATAAGTGGATATAACTTAAGGGAATTGCAGAGCAAGTATTTTGGAGAGCAGAGGAGCTTGGTTTCAGTTGTGATAAAATGCTGAAGTGAACATTCACTAAAATTTGTTTTCTATGGAAAGTACATTTCAGAAAGCTCAGTGAAAAGACTTGGAAAGGAAATGGATAAGGAAAGAAGCACAGCTTTACAGGAATCCAGAGGATGGGTTAAAATTAGCAATTCCATTTAATAATTTTTTTTATCCTGAATTAACATACTTCTTTCCAGTTGATTTAGTGAGTAAAGTCTATGTTTCATTGGTACATATTATAGCCTTTACATATATATTCATATTTAAAATCTTACTGTGTGGTTTTTAATGTAATAGTTCTGTCTAAAAGGATCAAAGACTCATCAAATTAATAGAAACTCAGTAGAATTCTGAACCCAAAGAATTAATGATTTCGGTGTTCACATAAACAAAGAATTCCTCAGACTTGTAGAATGCATGAGTCCTGTGTTGTTCATCTTAGTCCAGCACATAATTGCTCAGATAACTTAGGTTAGTTATGTTGCATTTTTGTTAAAAGTATAAAATCAGACTTGGTTTTAGTCATAGTTGTTGTTGTTGTTGTTGTTGTTGTTGTTGTTGTTTTCTTTTACTCTCTGTGACCTCTTAGGGAAGTTTACACCCAGAAAAACCTTTTGAGAAGTTCTATTAGCTGATTGTTATTCTTCTCATATTTATTGTCTTTCCTATTCTCCTTTATTTGATTTTCCAGAATTGAAGCAACCATCTAGATCTAACTAGAGTTAACTATTTGCCAGAGTTAATAAGTATTATAGAAGCTACCAATATTCATTGAAATGATTAAGCTAGTCTCTTAAAATATTTACATGAAATATATGCAAACTTCGTACAGAATATCATTAATTCTCGCCCATTAATGGAGAAACGCAGTAGCCCTACATATAAATCATCCTGGCTATTAAAAAAAAAAATTGAAGGGGATTGAAGCCAGGAGCACTCTACTTATATACCCAGTCTTTTTTATTTTTTTATTTTGAGACAGGCTCTCCCTAAATTACCAAAGCTGGCCTCAAATTTGCAATCCTGCCTCAGGTTTCCAAGTTGCAGGGATTACACATGTATAGCTCTTCCTGGTAATTTATTAGAAACAAGTTCTGGCCAGGCACCGTCGTCCACACCTGTTATCCCTCTGAAGGCTGAGGCAGGAGGATCGAAAATTCAGAGCCAGCCTCAGCAACTTAGCAAAGCTCTTAGAAACTCAGTGAGACCTGTCTCTAAATAAAACACAAAAAAGGCTGAGGATGTTGCTCAGTGGTTAAGTACCCCTGGGTTTAATCCCCCATACCAAAAAATAAAAAAGAAAGAAACAAGCTCTGCCTGCAGATTTGTCAAATGTAAGTTCCCCAAGTGATTCTAATGTTCAGCCTGATTTAGGGTTTACTTTTACTGTGTTGCAATCATATGCTTTATGTATTGGTGAGTGTATAGTAGCAAGTACAAAACAGCAAAAATGATTTAAGATATAATTATTTAGCTAAGTGGCTTGTTAGCGCACACACCAGCCTCCTACTAAATGCAATTCAGATTTGGATCTCAGCAGAATTCGATACCAATTATAAACCTGCATATCTCAGTCAATATGTCAAAACTGGCTGGTTCTGTTTTGCTCATCATGTTCAGTGTTAGACATGTCAGATAATCTAAATGTTTACCAAATAACTATAGTGTGAGTTTTTATATGCTTCATGCAGATGTCAGAATTTCTCATGTTTTCATTTTTTTTCTTTAATTGTGGATGGAGACAATACCTTTGTTTTATTTGTTTGTTTGTTTATTTATTTTGAGGTGGTGCTGAGGATGGAACCCAGCGCCTCATACTTGTAAACAAGGGCTCTGCCACTGAGCCACAATCCCAGCCTTATGTTTTCATTTTTTAATATATTATTTTCCACTTCCTACTTACTAAGAGTAGAGTTTCTTTATTCTTTTTTATTAGATTACATTCCGACAACAGGCCTTTCCAATAAGATATTTATTTCATTAACCAAAAGCACTTACATTTTTGTCTCAATATTTTTACAATTTAGGTGCCTGTGGTTCATGCTTGAAGTTTTAATGACAAAGAATGAAAATAATAGCCATGCCTTTATGAAGAAGATGGCAGAGAACATCAAGCTAACCAGAGATGCCCAGTCTCCAGATGAAACCAAGACAAATGAAGTAAGATGAGTATTAGGCCAGAGGATATTAAGATGTCATAGAAAAATAAATCAACTCCTTTTTTTCTGATCATTACATAATTTTAATGGCAGAATATTTATTTATTTATTTTGATTTCACTTTTATTTATTTTTATGTGGTGCTGAGGATCAAACCCAGGACCTCACGCATGCGAGGCAAGCACTCTACCGCTGAGCCACTACCCTAGCCCCTGCAGAATATTTATTAAAATATACTCAGGGTCAGGTTTTTTGTTTTGTTTGTTTTTTGTTTTTTGCTTTTTAAAATTTTTTTCTTTTTTTGGTAGTAGATGGACAAAATTCTTTTATTTTTATGTGGTCCTGATGATCAAACCCAGTGCTTCACATGTGTTAGGCAAGCATTCTACCACTGAGCTACAGCCCTAGCCCCTTATTGCTTTTTATCACACACACAAAAAAATGTGTTATTTAGGGGCTTGGGGGAGGGGTTCTGTTTGGTTGGTTGGCTTCTTTTGTTTTGGTTTTTGGGTTTGTTTGTTTGTTTTTGCAGTGCTGGGGATTGAACCCAGTGCCTTTTGCATGCCAAGCAAATGCTCTACCACTGAGCCACATCCCCATCCCTATTTTGGGATATTTAGTACTCTTCAATAAAAAAGGCTAGGGTTGTAGCTCAGTGTTAGAGCACTTGCCTACGTGTGTTAGGCACTGGGTTCGATTTTCACCACCATATTTTTAAAAAAATAATTAATTAAACATAAGTATTGTGTCCATCTGCAACTGAAAAAAAACAGATTAAAAAAGGCATCAAAGTATCTGCAAAGCAAGAGGATACAAACTAATAGTATTTGGACTGAGAATATAGCTCAATAATAGAGCCTTTGCCTCTCATACTCCAAGCTCTAGGTTGTATCCTCAGCACCACTACAGGTGGGAGGGATCCGAAATTTACAACTGTTCTGTCTTATGTATTTCTACCAAGAGTTATAGAAAAATGAATATGTTTGTTGTATGCTTTCTTTGTTTTAACTTGTCTTCTCTACTTCATACTTGGCATTCATGTTAAATTAAGGTAGGGGTTGTTTGTTTGTCATCCCACCCGCCCCCCCTTTATCAGGAGGAAGCTATGCAGAACAGAAAAAGGAAATGTTCCAGGAATAAATAACCACATAGTCTGTTTATAACTTTTATGTATTTGGTGGAAGTGGTTCTTTTGATTATTTTGTAATCATGAAAATTATGTAAAAATCTTTATTTTCTTTCCTAGAAACTTTATACAGTATGTGATGTGGCTCTGTGTGTTATAAATAGTAAAAGTGCTTTGTGCAATGCAGATTCACCAAAGGACCCAGTCCTTCCAATGAAATTTTTTACACAACCTGAAAAGGTAATTTTTTATATACCTCATTTTTCTACCATACTAAAATGATTTAAATATAAATTACATCAACAAATATTAGATAGGGGCTGGGGATGTGGCTCAAGCGGTAGCGCACTCGCCTGGCATGCGTGCAGCCCGGGTTCGATCCTCAGCACTACATACCAACAAAGATGTTGTGTCCGCCGAGAACTAAAAAATAAATATTAAAATCAATCAATCTCTCTCTCTCTCTCTTTCTCCCTCTCTCCCCTCCCTTCCCCTCCCTCCCCTCTCTCACTCTCTTTTAAAAAAAACAAATATTAGATAATCTTGAGTACAGAGTTTTTTTTTAAAAAAAAAAAAACTCTAGGTTTATTGAAGAATGGAAAATTTTCTTTAGACCCCTGCATAATATATTGCTCTCTCCTAAGTAGGAATACAAATAAAGTTTTTTTAGTTCCTATGTTCCTTCTAGTGTTTCTAGTAGGAAAAACAGTTTTTTCAGATTTTTAAAAATTATTTTGACTTCATTTTATTTAAATGCTGTTAATATGTTTATAGACAATAAAATAACTGGTATAGTATATAAATATATCTACATATGAAATCAAATATTAGAGTTAATGGAATTGGTCTTGGCAGTTGATTGACCTGGATTCTCATCAATCATTTCTGACTTGAGGACTAAGTTTTAACTCCTCTGAAATTTAATTCCTTCATCTCTGTAATGTAGGTATAAAAAATATATATGAATAGTTAATAATTAATAGTATCTAGGTTTAGTTGAAGAGTTTATTACACAGTGAGCATTCAATAAATGATACTCTTAATTGATTACACGTAATACATTTTTTCTGCTACTACCAAATTGATTTTCTTTTTTTTTTTTTTTTAATGTACTTTATTTTATAGTTACAGTGAGAGATAAGGCTTTTATTTTTTTGTTTTCGGTGGCTGGAGGACCTGTGTGCACCAAATGTCAGTAAATATTCTAGATAATCCAAGCTCGTTGAAGTGTTCCCAAGTATTTTGAAATTTAAAACTTTTTTTAAAATGTCTTATTTATTTCCTGATTTTATGTGATATGTTGAAGTCTCTTTAATGGTTCTAAGAAACAAAATATATTTACTTAAGTGACAGGTTTTTCCCTTTAATGAGGATAATATAATTTCCTTGATCCAGTGAGGAGTTCTTTACTGAAATATGCTTAGTACCATATAAGCTACTTTGAGAGCCCAAGAAGATTTTATAATACAATGGAGGAGGTGAAAATTATTTAAGACATAAACTGGAGACTCCACTAAGCCATATAAAAAATTAGGATTTTGCTTCATTTGAAATTTAGAAAATTTACCTCTCAATAGAAAAATGTCTAGGTCATGAATTGAGATAGATAAGCATAAATATGATTATTATTGCAGGGTACAATGCCTGAAAAGTTTTGTTTGTATGATAAAAAGACACATGTACAATTTAATAGGCTTTTGTTTTTCTTTTTTTAAATAGGACTTCTGTAATGACAAGAGTTATATTTCAGAAGAGACAAGAGTGCTTCTATTAACAGGAAAGGTATTAAATATATCTTCTGCTGCATGTCCTCTGTATTTTATAGTACCTTAGGTATCATATTATGGGTTTGTAGCATCTGATGGTCAGAATTTTTTCTGCCATGAATTACTCTTCTGAATTGCCACCATGTGTTCTGCTCGATAATGAAAAGCTTCAAATTAATTTATATACAATATAAAATGCAGATTTTACTGAGAAATAGGGTAATAAACTTACATGTATAAGATAAATAAGATAGTCAGGCATGGTGGCTCACACCTGTAGTTCCAGCAACTTGGGAGGCCAAGGTCAGAGGATCATAAGTTTCAGGCCAGCTTCAGCAACTTAGTGAGATCATGCCTCAAAATAAAAATTTTTTAAAAAGGGCTGGGGGGCTAGGACTGTAGCTCAGTGGCAGAGCACTTGCCTAGCATGCATGAGGCACTGGGTTTAATCCTTAGCACCACATGAAAAGTAAAAAAATAAAATAAAGGCATTCTATTCATCTACAACTATTAAAAAAAATTTTTTTAAAGGAGTGCTAATGAATTAGTCAATCTGAAAATATCTTTTTTTAAAAAAAGGGGGGGAGGCTGGGGACATATCTGTTGGTAGAGTGCTTGCCTAGCATGCACAAATTCCTGAGTTCAATCCCCAGCGCCACAGGGAAAAAAAAAATTTTGTTTCTGTTGTTGTTCTTGTTATTACACATTTTTATTTTGTTGGTACAAAAAAAATTTAAAAAAAAAATAAGTTCAGTGGTAAATTGCCCTAGGTTCAATCCCTAGTATTTAAAAAAAGAATTTTGAATACTAATGAGTTAAATAATTAATATTTCATAAAACTAATGATGAGTCCTAAAAATGTTTTTAATTTAATTTAATTTGTATATATACAAAGAATATTTTATATGTACATATATATATAAATATATATATACTATATATATTTTTTTTTAGTTGTAGATGAACATACAATACCTTTATTTTGCTTATTTAGTTGGTTTTTTTTTTTTTTTTTTTTTTTAGTGGTCAATTTTCCTGTATTTATTTATATGCGGTGCTGAAAATCGAACCCAGTGCCTCACACATGCTAGGCAAGTGCTCTACCCACTGAGCTATGACCCCAGCCCCTATTTAGTTTTTTTTTAATGTGGTGCTGGGTTCAAACCCAGTGCCTCACACATGCTAGGCAAGTGCTGTACCACTGAGCCACAACCCCAGCCCTAGAAATTTAATTCTTGATAAATAATTGCTAAAAATATTATATATATTCAGTAGTTTGTTTACAAGACATTTTATTATGTATTTCAATGTTTTAGGTACTTATTTTGATTAAGCAATAAGAGCCAGGTGTGGGGGTACATGCCAGTAGTCCTCGCTACATGGGAGACTGAGTTGTAAGGATCACTTGATCCCACTAGTTCAAAAATTGGCAATATGGAATGATCTCATCATATTAAAAAAATAAAAATAAACAAAAAACCACACAGGCCTCAGCTCAGTGGTAGAGCATTTGCCTCGTTGTGAATCCTGAGTTCCATTTCAATGGAACTGATGGGGGAGGGGGGGGCATTGTAAAGCTGTAAGGAATAACAAATATTGCCTCATTTTTAATGCTTATAATTTTTTTTAAGACAGCCAAACATGTTTTTACAGCATTATCATTTCTAATAAATTTAGGGCTTAATCTTCCAAGATAACAACTCTTGGCTTAAGCTAAAGAATATCTTTACCTGCTTCTGAATTATATGTATCCCTTTCACTACAGTATAAAATAATGTGTGTGTGTGTGTGTGTGATTTTTCAGCCAAAGCCCACTGGAGTACTAGGTGCAGTAAACAAGCCTTTATCAGCAACAGGAAGGAAACCCTATGTTAGAACCACTGGCCCTGAGACCGGAAGCAATATTAATGTAAATTCAGAGCTGAATCCCTCAACCGGAAATCGATCAAGGCAAATTTTTTCTCTCTCTCTTTTTTTTTTTGTTCTCTCACACTACTTGGTTTATCTTTTAATTTATTCCTAAAGCACTCTATCATAAAGTAGACTTCTACTTTTAGAAATGTTTTGGTACAAAATAATTCTGATGACTTGTACATGTTTTGTTGGTTTGGGGAGGGATTAGGGGGTGGTTTGTGGTGCTGGGGATCAAACCCTAGGCCTTGTGTATTCAAAGCAAGCAACACTCCCCAGCCCGTGTTTTTTTTTAGAGGAGAATCAAGAATAGACTGAATATTTTGAAATAATATAGTATTCTAAGTACATAGAAAAGTTAACAAAAAAGGCTGGGAATTCAGTATTAGAGTACTTGACTAGCGTATGCAAGGCCCTGGATTCCATCCCCAGTACCACCACAAGATTAAAAAAATAATAACTAAAAAAATTAAAAACACAAGTATTTGTTATATAACTAATTTACATAGAAATGTTTATTCAGTATACATAAGAAAATTCAACACTTTGAAAACCATAAAAATAACTATTAAATAACTGGGAATACTTTTTAAAATTTTATATCTAATTAGTGTAATGTGATTAAGGTAATGTTGATATAGCATTTTCCATATAATTAATGTGTCATATTTGCTTTATTAATCATTGAATAAAGAATTTCTACCTGACCCTGCTGTTAAACTCTAAACATTGGGTTTTTTAAGCATTTTATTTGTATCCATGAAAAGTTAAGGATAAACTCAACTAGTAATGTTTA